GATAAAAAAAGATCGCTCCTTTTTGGCAGAACAATGAGGATTTTAAGGCAGCAGGAACTCAGCAGTTTCTGCTCAGTATTTGCTATGTGTGGTGCTGGTCTGCCCAGCAGGCTAGAATAAGGAGTCAGCAGGTAAACACCACATGTCAGAAATTTTGCTAAATCTAGTTCTTAGTGATACATATGTGAGGAAGTCCTGGGGCCAAACCGTGCGCTCATTTATATCGGCACATTCCCACTAAAGTCAGTGGAGCTGCAGCTAAGAGAAGACTATTCCTTCTTTCTTAGAACAATTCGGGGGTGACCCCACCCTTAAACTTAAGTCCAGTCTATGACCTGTTATTGCATTCAGACATACTCCAGTCCAGGCATCCCATCCACACCTTGGTGATCTGGGGCTGCTTTGGAGAAGGGTAACGATGCATCTCAGCACATCATTGATGCATCTGCCACAGGGATGGAAAGGAAGGAGACAGAAGGCCTCTGTAATGAAGCCAAACCATAAACCACTGCCGTCCATCATGTTTCATTAGCCAACGTTATGGAAATGCTGATAAATGGGATGTATCATGTTGACTCCTCACCACCAGGTCTGTGAATGATGAATCGTGGCACAAATGTTGTGGTGGTTCCTTCACAACTAGATGCAATGACTCACTCTGAGCTCAGCACGGAGATGCTCCAGCGTTCGTATGGATGCAAGGGGGTGATGCTAAGCTGAGCTCTTCTGGCACATGCAGGTTGCTACCTATCTAAACAGCAAGCAGAGCTCTGGTGCGTGGCTTGAAGGATTTGTTTCCTGGCAGTTTGCAGAGTTCCTCATTAGGATTGTGGCCCTGCTGTGCCAGCCCGGTGTGTACACATAGGATGGCACCATCCCTGCCCCACAGAGCCTAGTGTTTACTCATGCCAAGGCATGTGGCATTGCTGATCTAGTCTGCAACAAAGAACAATGAGTGACTATAATGAAGAGACAGGAATGGCGCAGTGAGGATAACGATTATAAGAACATGTTATTTCATAGGTTAGCTGGGTACACAGCCAAGCAGCACTAAATCATTTAACCGGTTTTATCATCCTTAAATATCATCAATACTCTAGCTCAGCATTGCCTTCTGGCGTGTTCCTCAGCCATGAGCCCCTTCTGGGATATGACTCGAGCTAACCTCCTTTACTGCATGTTGGGGAAGTCCCAGTGCTCACATGAAATCAGACCAGTGATCTCAGCAGACTCTACAATGCATCCGAACAAAACCTTGGGACCTCGCTGCTCTGAACTTTCGAGGACCAAATCTGGTCAGGCTTCACCTCCCCCATCTCCTCCCCTCCCTTTACTGTAATGCGCTGGGGCACAGCTGCCCTTCATTCCCATGGGGCTTGGCTGTGTATAGCTGTGGATGGCATCTGGGTCCCTTTCTTTTTTTGGCGCAGCAGCAAGGGGATTTGGCGCAGCAGCAAGGGTGCAGCAGCAAGGGCATTCGGAGTGAAAGGCTGCCCTGCTGCCTTGAACTCATGAGCCTGTCTCTTCATTTTAGAAGTTGAACAGGCTTATTCCTGGCAGGGAGAGGAAAGTTATTATTATTTTTTTCTAATTTAACCACTCCACACTCCTTTTGGCAGTGTCAAGTATCACATAAGTGCAGGCACACATTCAAAATTAGTTTCAAGGCAAAATTGACTGCTCAGATATGTTCCCTCCAACACTTATCGAGCTTTCTCATACATCTCTGGCAGTTCACGAGGTGCCCAAGCTATTGAGGTGCGAGGTTCCTCCCAAGGGCCATTCAGCATGATGTGGTGAACCTCTAGCAAGACGGCATCCTTCCTGGCCAAAGCTCTGGGGGGACAGAGGACTGGCACAGACAAGGTGAGGATAGTCATATTTCTGCGACAAGGAACTCGTCATGTTTGTAATAGCTTGCTATTTTCTACCACGTGCGTCCCCTTCTTTAAGGCCTTATTAATAGAATAGAGCTAGAAACAACATCTCTTTTTTTTCCCACGTGACTAGTTAAGCAGCAACAGCACAAAACATTAGCTTTTTAGGCTCCATAAATGAGAGGTTATTATTTTTAAGGTCGTGGATGTAATGTAAGAACACGGGGAAGGAAAAAAAACTTCTTTTATGTCGGTGCATTCCTTGTACAGCCCCCAAAAGGCATCAACTCCCAAAACAGATATCTTGGGGGCAAGTGCTATTTATTATGCATTTATTAGTTGGATTACAGTAGCAACCAAAAACCCCAGCCAAGACCGGGGTCTCTTTTTGTTAGGCAGCATACAAACAGAAAGGAAGAGATGGTTCTTGTCCTGAAAAGTTTAAATCGAAATTCAAAAGACAGAGAGGAGAGAGAGAGAGAGAAAGAGAAAGAAAAGTGAAGTGACCAGCCCCAGGTTAATGGAAGAGTCCTCAACAGAGATCAGGTCTTCTGAGTGCCAGTGAGTTGCCTTATCCACTGGCTGTGCTGCTAGTAAGGACTGTGCAAAACTCCCACAGATTTCAATACAAAGTTGCATGGATTCCAAACTTTGGCTTGGGATCCAGGGAATATTCAGCAGATGGTATACGTTTGGGAGGGCATCTCCAAAGCTGCACCACCCTCTCTCTCATTTATCCTGGTGCATCTCCACAGTGACGATTGCACAGCTCTGTGTCCTGTCTGTCCATAGAACAGATACCACAGGGGCCTGATACATCTCTGCTCTGTTTTGGAGAGAGGATACAGCCTGGATCTAATAAATCTCCACCTTCTGGGTGACAGAATAATACTGTCTTTTGCTCTTTTGCTAAGACAGCTGTCAGTGAAAGATTACAATGCAGACACCTGTTCAGTGAGAACTGAGCTGCGACCAAACCCCATTTCACACTAACCACCAAACAGCGTCCTGGTGGTATCAGCATCCAGCTTTAATGATCTGGGCTGGCGTTGAGCCCCCAGCCTCCTTTCCAGGTACTGTACAGCATCTATTAGATCAAGAACGCATCATTTGGCTCTGTATAGAAATCACTGATATCATCACATCTATCTCGCCAGAAGGAAATGCCAGGTCAGTCAGGGTTTGCTATCAGCTGCACCTACATTAAGATGGATACTCACATCTCTGCCTTTCAGGTGACTATCATTTCAGGTCTGAAACCCCGGTCTTTCTGAGATGCAAATGAGGCATTTCCCTCCCACCCTGCCTGGGATTTGCTTGTCTTCAATAAATCTTTGCAATTGCAAATCATTAGATCCCTCTTATTTCTTCTTACTATGTTATGAGTCATTCCCAGTTTTCCTGGCAGACTCTATAGCAGTTAATAATTTGGTGTGAACTGTATGTTTTAATACTCAACATGTCACATGACTGAAACATGGTTGAGGGACTCTCACAGAGCTGCAAAAAGAAATATTCCTTCAGAACTTCCCTGGGTGCACTCTTCTGTTAGCAATGATGTTTCTGTTTCACGCAAGCTTTTCCTATATGAGCCCAGGTTCCATGGTTAGGAAAATTACATTGTTTGTGCTACAGCACAAAACAAAGAGATAGCCCCTACCTTAAAGAGCACGTAGTCCAATAAATGGATGCCATGAGCTGATGCCAAGTGAAAGCAAGATGACTGAGCAAGCAGGATTCACAATGCATCCCTGACCTTGCCACTGTTGAGTGCTTAGTATGGTGGCTTCTAAACAGCGGTCTGTGACCCACTGAGGGAGGCTGTGGCCCAGAGCAGGTCCATGGACTGCAGTGGGCTCCATGCAGCTTTGTACAGTTTTTAATTCAAAAATGGCCAATAAAATGCTTGCGGAGAAATAGGAAGTTTGACAGTTACCTGCTGGTCCGAAACCCTTGGGGGCCACTATGGCAGAAGGAGAATGTAGTAGCTATGATGATATATACAGTAAGCCTCTCCCAAGCAGGGAGGAAAACAGCTTGAAATGTGGGAGAATTTGCTTAATGGACAAGGAAAGTTGGTTTTGTAGTTGGGTGTCAGTGGTGGGAAAGTGTAGCAGGGCACTAAGGTGCCTGCTACTTGTAGAGCTGAAATAACCACTCAGGGCAACCGGAGGGAGCCAGTGACCCACACCTGTTAGCAGTCAGCTGACTGGAAGGGGCTCCCATTTAAACCCCAGGACTGAGTCCAGGGAGGCAGTTTCCTGCTGGCAGCCAAAGGGGGAAGGAGCTCTGCCGGAGCGAGTAAAAGGAAGAAGCCTAAACTATACGAGCAGCTCCGGAGGCTTGTAAGGGATGGAGCAACCCTGGGGGCGTGAATGAGATTTTAGCCAGACGCCCTGAAGTTATGTTATAGTCCAGGGGCTTATGTTTTGTTTTGCTGTTAAACTGGAGGCTTGGGTGAGACTATTAGGGGTTGGAGGAGGCATCATAGGGGACCCTCGGCATTGTGGGAACCCCCACCCCAGAGAAGGGGCAGTGAGAGGCCCCGGAGAGGGGATGCAAACCAGCGAGGTGCAATCTTAAAAGCCGGGGAGCTTTGGTGCACCTGTGGTGCAGTGTTATTTTGGTCTTGGTTTTTTTTGTGGCATGGGAGGGGGCAGGCTTGGGATCATCCCCTGGTTTTGGGCTTGCGGCCCTCCAGCTGTGGGGTTGGCACCTGGGCCCTCTGGACCAGGCTCCAGATTGGAGCGGGAAAAGGGGCCCCAGGCCTCAAGACAGTGGAAAAGGCTAGAGCCTCGAAGTCAAACCCTGTTTAGTGGGTTTAGACAGGGAGGCCTAGCTAGAGAAAATCAGGGGTCAGTCCCATATAGGGGAAAGGCCCCAACTCATCCAATACAATAGGCAGCCTCCCACTCGCAAGAACATCATCCTAATTTCCATCAAGACGTGGCAGGAGAGTATAGGGTGGGACATCCCCAAAGAAGGATCCAAGGGTGCCCACGCAAGGTGCAGAGGACTAGGAAGATGGCTCTGGGAAGGGCGACCTGTTACAGAAAGCCTCTAGCAATAAGAACCGCCATGATGGATCAGCATGTGGTCCACATTAGCCAGCACTCAGTTTTTGTAATGGCCAACAGAAGCTTCAACAAACCTCACAGCAGGCAGATGAGGGATAATCTGCTCCCATGGTGATCTCCTGAAACCAAATGGAGACTGAAGTAAGCCAAAAGTAGGAGATTTAAGCCCTTTCCCAAAGCTTGGCATTCACTGTCTTCTAAGACAACTCCAGATAGTCTTATCATCAGGGCTTAAATCAGCCTGTATGGGGCCTCCTTAACACCATGTGGGGCCTGTGGGACCCCCGCAAAGGCAGGGTATGGGCTGGGGTCTTCCCTTTCCCTGTGGGGGGGATCTCCAGGCTTCTTCTGCAGCACGGGGTAGGGCCACCAACACCAAGTGGGCTCCATGGGAGTGTGGCTGCTCTGCCCAGCTCTGCAGGGCCCCCCAAAGCATGGGGCCTGCGGCAATCACCCTGATTTCCATACACTAGGGACGGCCCTGCTCATTATATATAAATACATCCAGTCCTCTTGGGAGCTGCCCTTCTTTCTCCCCTTCCTTCCACACACTCTATAACCCAAAGGCTTTACCCGGTTTGGTTTTAGTGGGAACTCTACATGCAGTTTGCATTTCCTGAGTCACAGGAAGCAGTCTGGTGCAATTTCACACCTGCTATAAATGGATCCCTTTCCATGGCCTTCAAAGGAATTGACTCTGCTAGATTTAGGCCTTGAAATTTTCTCTGCATTACGACATCCATTTACACTGCTCTAGGAATAATAAATAACAACAGCTACTGTATGTTCATTGCACTGAAATGCATCCACTGGCAGGTACGTCACATGTCCAGTGGCTGAACTCTGACCTCTTCACAGGATTTGCACTAGGGAAAATCTGGAAGAAATTAGAACATGGTCTGTCCATGCACCATTATGTTAACTTCCTGATCTAAACCAACTCTAAATCATATTGGGCATGTTCAACCAATATCCACAGCTCCCAAACATGTCCAAGGATGCACATGGCTCAGCTCTATTGAAAGGTGACTGGGTTGCTCTTGGGGTAGTTGTGGAAAATCATCACAGGCAGGTGGGACTCATGCTTCTGACTTTCCTGCAGGTAAGTCAGGTACTCCCAGACAGGCTGGCTGATGGGGTAGCTCACACCTGGCATCACTCATTTCTATGGGATTGTGCACAACACTCTGCAACCCATCATCCTCACGGGTCCTTTGGAGCTAACATCAGCTGTTATCTGGGGATTTGTTTGACAGTGTGTTTACTGTGCAAAATGCTTGCGTGTGGAACAGTCTACACTAAGCAGATTGTGAAAAATCCTGGCTAATGGCTGACCTGCAGATGGTAAAAACCTGGCAGTTTCATTCATGCATAAGGTTCAAAGGTCCTAGAGGCTTGATATATTGGACTTTAATACCAAAAATCTGCAGTAGAAAAGGCAAGCAAGGAAGGTTCTTGAGTTAAGGTTTCTGGCTCTGGAGGTGTGTGTGGTCTAGCAGGTAGATCAGGGAACTAGGAGCAGAGGCTAAGAATGTTTTAGGGCAGTGGTCTCCAAACTTTTTTGATCATGCACCCCTATCAGTAAAAAATTTT